CAGGACGGAGCCTCGCCTCGCTGCGTTCATTCACCCTGTCCGGCCCTGCCCCGGCGTGGCAGAAGCGCTCTCCCCTCCGGCACACGCTGCCAGACCGCCCTTCCCTGCCCTGCGGGCTGGCCAGACTTCTCCCTACGGTCCCTCTCGCCTGCTCCCTGGTTTTGTGGCTGCAGTGTTTTGTGTGACGCCCTTGCAGAGGGCTGGAGGGGGAATCAATTGGCTTAGTGGTTCGTACTGCTCTCAAATTTGCTTTTAAGTAGCGCTGGAGATTTGGCATGGTCTGTCCCACTCCCCAGGAAACAGCTCCGCGTCCGGGCTGGCCGCGGCACCCCGTCTGGGTGGCTGGCACCCGCGCGAGCTGGCAGCTCTTCCTTACCTCGGTTCGCAGGGGACGGTCTCTTTGCCGGTAGGAATAGCTGTGCGCCTGGCCACCGCCCCGGGCACCCACTCACGTGCCCTGGTTTGGCGGCTGCATGCCCGTTAGCGTTCGCACCCCCGAGCCCCATCAGCACTTTGCTTTTGGCAAGCGTGCATCCGTCCTGGCACGTGCATGTGGAGGGGCATCTGGCTGCTCCGGGCGCTTGGGCAGGCGGGAGCGTGGGGTCGGCTGCCCCGCAGAGCCCAGGCACGGTCATGGTCCCACGCAGGTTTTCCCACGTGCCCGTGGGAGCAGAGCAGAAGATTCTCCCTCTTTGGGCAGCAGCTGTGCTGTGCAGGCTGCCAGGGTCATTTGATTCAAGTTTCCGCACTGCAGGTGTCAATGGAAATACTTTTTGTACCTAAATCAATTATTGGAGATGGTTCAAAGAGCGGCGGGATTGAAACTCAAGGGAGCCACAAAGGGAAATGTTTAAACGTCTGTGCTGAGGATGCTGAAAAATGGAGTTTTAAACTGTGCTATGGATCCCCCCGCACTGCTCTGTGTAACGGGACGGTCTCGCCCAGTTGTGGCTGCTGGGTTTTGGTCCCATATCTGAATGCTCAGAAGAACCTTCCTGGCGTCTCAGCGAAGCTCTAACTGGGAACTCCTCAGACAGCATGTCCGCTCTCTGTCATCCCATGCAGCTTTGCTGTCCTGCAGAGCACGGAAAATTTGGCCCTTCACATCTAAAAGACATGATATTTTCCATCTGTTGCTGAAGGCACGATTAAAGCTGGGAAGGGAGCTAAGTTGGCGTCTGACACGGAGCTGCCCCGGTGCTTCTCGTGTTGTGAGCAGCCAATGCTGAGGGCTCGGGTGAGAATGCGGGGTAAAAATGTGCTTCCTCCTTTCCTCCCTGTGCGCTTCGACGCTGCAGCATCATGCCAGGGCAGAGCGAGGGTGTTTTGCATTCGGCAGCATCCCTTGGGGAAAAGTTGTGCGTACCTCTCAAATTCCATATCATGTAGGCAGATATTTCTGTGCTGACGCCGTCTGGGATGCAGATGCGAGCACAGAAAAGCCGGATTTCCTTTGATGCAGTAATAACTGTCAGGTGTTCTCTGTTGTGTGTGTTTCGTTTGCAGGGCTACTTACCAGAAAGCAAATTCAATCGCATCCTAACCGAGCCCGTGCTCCGAGACGCAGGGCCCCGCCGGAGGGGGAGAAGGCCCCGAAGCGAACTCATTAAAGGCCCCGGCGTTGTAGCAGATTCTTCTTCTGGAATGGGACCATTGTTCATGAACGGACTGATTGCTGGGATGGATCTAGTGGGACTTCAGAACATGAGAAACATGCAAGGGATCCCTCTGACCGGGCTGGTTGGGTTTCCTGCTGGATTTGCAGCAGTGCCCGCCGGCGAGGACGTGAAAAGCACCCTGAGTATGTTGCCCATGATGCTGCCGGGCATGGCTACCGTACCGCAGATGTTTGGCGTTGGAGGACTTCTCAACCCCCCCATGACAACTACTTGTACCGCGACCGCTCCGACTTCGTTAACAAGCACAACAAAAAGTGGTATGGCCAGCGCGGAGAAAGCTACTGAGGATAAACAGAGTAGCCAGGATGTGAAAAAAGAAACTCTCTCGGAAGATAAGCCTGGTCCTAGTTCGTTTTCTAATCAGACAGAATCCGCAATAACTACCAGTAGTCCTGTAGCTTTTAACCCGTTTCTTATCCCAGGGATGTCTCCTGGACTGATCTATCCCTCAATGTTTCTTTCCCCTGGCATCGGCATGGCGCTGCCCGGCATTCAGCAAACCAGGCACTCGGAGGCAGCGAACCTGGAAAGCCAGAAGCGGAAGAGAAAGAAAGCGAAAGGGGAATCGGCAAACCCAGAGCCAGAAACTGTCTTGCTGCCGGAAAAAGAAGCTGCAAACGGTCAAAACTGTACAGAGCAAACCCCGTCTTTGTCGGCAGAGAAGGAGCAGGACGGACCAGCAGAGGAGGAGCGCCAAGCGGCTCGCGATACCAATTAGAACTTTTGTTTCATTGAAAAAAAAAAAAACACAAAAAGATTGTGGCTTGTGAGTTTCTTATCCCATAAACTCTTTGTTACTTACCCTCCTGCCCCGCTCCGCCTTCATAAACCTGTGTTTCCATGAGTAATATTATCTACCTAATTCCCTGTCAGAAAAAACTCTGGTGACATACTACATGTTAATAGTTGCAGGGTCTTGCCACTTTATTAGATAAACAGTGTTGTCTAGCTAGTATGGGAGGCACCGAATTCTCGTTCTGTTTTACCAGTCGTTCATCCCAGCCGACGATAGCAAATCCAGTACTCGGTCACCCCCC